TTGTGTGTGTGTGTGTGTGTGTGTGTGTGTGTGTATGTGTATCTTCTTCATCCATCTATGGATGGCTATTCAGGTTGCTTCCATGTCTTGGCTATTGAAAACAGTGCTGCTATAAACATTGGGGTGCGTGTATCTTTTCAGATTAGAGCTTTTATCTTTCTTGGTGTATGTCCAGCAGTGGGATTGCTGGATCATGTGATAAGTCTGTTTTTAGTTTTGTAAGGAGCCTGCATACTGTTCTCCACAGTGACTGCACCAGTTTCCATTCCCCAGCAGTATAGGAGGGTCTCCTTTTCTCCACATCCTCTCCAGCATTTATCATTTGTTATTTTTTAATCATGGCCATTCTGACTAGTGTGAGATGATACCTCATTGTAGTTTTAACTTGCATTTCACTAATACTTTGCAATATTAAACGTCTTCTCATGTGCCTATTGGCCATCTGTATGTCTTCTTTGGAGAAATGTCTATTTGGGTCTTCTGCTCATTTTTTGATTGTTTTTTGATAATAAGCTTTGTGATCTGTGTATTTTGGAAATTAATCCCTTGTTGGTCATATCATTTGCAAATATTTTCTCCCATGTCATACAAAATCCCTTTTCATTTTGTATATGATTTCCTTTGCTGTGCAAAAGCTTTTAAGTTTAATTAGGTCCCATTTATTTTTGCTTTATTTCCATTACTCTAGGAAACAGAGCCAAAAAAAAAATATTGCTGCAATTTATGACAAAGAGCTTGTGTTTTCCTCTAGGAGTTTTATAGTATCCAGTCTTACAGTAATCCATTTTGAGTTTATTTTTATATATGGTGATAGAGAATGTTCTAATTTCATTCTTTTTCATGTTGCTGTGCAGTTTTCCCAGCACTGCTTATTGAAGAGACTGTCTTTTTTCCATTGTATATTCTTATCTCCTTTTTCATAGCTTAATTGACCATGAGTGTATGGGTGTATTTTTAGGCTTCCTATCCTGTTCCATTGATCTGTGTGTCCATTTTTGTTCCAGTACCATGGTGTTTTGATTACTGTAGCTTTGTAGTATAGTCTGAAGTCAGGGAGCATGATTCCTCCAGCTCCATTCTTCTTTCTCAAGATTGTTTTGGTGATTTGGGGGTCTTTTGTGTTTCTTTACAAATTCTAAATTTTTTTGTTCCAGTTCTGTGAAAACTGCTGTTGGTAATTTGATAGGGATTGCATTGAATATGTACATTGCATTGAGTAATATGTCCATTTTAATGATATTAATTCTTCCAATCCAAGAACACAGTATATCTTTCCACCTTTGTCATTTGCAGTTCCTTTTGTCAGTGTCTTACAGTTTTCGGAGTATATCTCTTTTGCCTGCTTGGGTTGGTTTATTCCTAGGTATTTTATTCATTTTGATGTGATGGTAAATGGGATTGCTTCCTTAATTTCTTTTTCTAAAATTTCATTGCTAGTGTATAGAAATGCAACACATTTCTGTATATTATTTTGTATCCTGTAGCTTTACTGAATTCATTGATGAGCTCTAGTAGTTTTCTGGTAGCATCTTTAAGATTTTCTATGTATAGTGTCATGTCACCTGTAAACAGTAATTTTACTTCTTTTCCAATTTGGATTGTTTTTATTTCTTTTTCTTCTCTGATTGCTGTAGGTAGGACTTCCAAAACTACATTGAATAAAAGTGGCAAGAGTAGGCATTCTAGTCTTGTTTCTGACTGTAGAGGAAGTGCTTTCAGCCTTTTACCATTCAGTATAATGTTAGCTTTTGGTTTGTCAAATATGGCCTTTATTATGTTGAGGTATGTTCTATGTCCACTATCTGGAGAGTTTTTATCATAAGTGGATGTTGAAGTTTATCAGAAGCTTTTTTGGCATCTATTGAGATGATCATATGGTTTTTATTTTTCAGTTTGTTAATGTGGTGTATCACATTGATTGATTTGGGGATATTGAAAAATTCTCACATTCCTAGAATAATTCTCACTTGATCATGGAATATGATCTTTTTAATGTTTTGTTGGATTCAACTTGCTAGTATTTTGTTGAGGATTTTTCTTCACGTTCATCAGTGATACTGACCTGTAATTTTCCTTCCTTCCTTCCTTTCTTTCTTTCTTTTTCTTTCTTTCTCTCTCTCTCTCCTCTTCCTTCCTTCTTCTTTCTTTTCTTTTTTCTTTCTTTCTTTTTCTCTTCTTTCTTTCTCTTTCTTTCTTTCTTTCTTTCTTTCTTTCTTTCTTTCTTTCTTTCTTTCTTTCTCGCTCTCGCTCTCGCTCTCTCCCTCTCCCTCTCCCTCTCTCTCTCTCTCTCGCTCTCTCATTCTCCCTCCCTCCCTCCC